TTGAAAGCGGCTAGAGCCGCTAACATTAGGTTACCACACTTGAAATCTCTGAAGCGTGTTATTGAGAGGCAGGAAGATAGGCAATAATAATGCCGCGGGTCTTCTGCACTCTCTGAAAATTATTTGTCGGAAAAGCTCAAGTGATTCAAACAAGAAAACCTAAAGAAAGTGTTGAATTCTGAGTGGTAAGAAACAGCGCTGGACTGCCGAATCCGGCGCAGTGCAATGAAAACGCGGAGCGTGAGCTGAACAGTAGTCGCTCAGGAGGCCGAAGGATGGCATGGAAGAATGACTGCGAGTGAATATCCAGAATGCGCACGATCCCTTCTCGCTGAAATTCGTGTCAACAAACAGTTCATTCAAGATCTGCTCCATCCCCTACTCAACCCCAACTACAGTTGATATGCTCTGTTCGAAACCTTCACAAAATTTTACACTTCTAACGAATACTGCTTTACTTGCGCAAGAGAGCCCGAGTTCATCCATTCATATAGGAAAACAGAGGCAATGTTTTTGCCAATGATCGTAAAGTTGACGTACTTGTAGAAAAAAGAAGCCGAGCTGACTCGAGTGCGGTATTCTAATGTATCAATTGCCCTTTCTTGTTGACTTCTTCTTCAGGATTGTGTTTTGCCTTGAACACGGTTGACTTCTGACAAGGAGATGTTGGTTGATGCCTGACAGGCGTTAAGAGCGAAAAACCCTTCAGAAAACTAACCTGACTCGGCTTTGCTCGGGTGCACTTTTTTTATAAACCGGCTCAATCGAGGGATCCTCATCAAAATGTCTTCCTCTTGTTCCATCGAAGAAGGGAACCCGGGCTTTTCTCGAAAGAGAACCTTTGCTGAAAAAGCAAAATGTGATAAAGGTTCATTTGCGCAGCCGCGGTTGTAGTAAGGCTTTTCTTCTTCTGACGTTACACCATTTTCTTGAAGGGAAAGGAAGGGTGCGTAGCTCATCAAAATTTCGTATCCTTCAAAACCTTTACGAAATTCTGAGCGAGCTTATTATTATGGCATGAATATTGTGCCCTTTTACGTTAGACTGTACTAGGTTCCTTGTAACGACATTCCTTCCTTCAACATCTCGCAACGGTATTCTTTTCGTGGCTATCTGGAAAAACAGTGTATAATAATGAAAAGTGGATCAGATGGAAATGAAAATGAACAGAAAACTAAGACAAACAAACAAGAAACAAGAAGTGCGGAAATAGGCAGTTTTACTGATTTGCTACATTCAGAAGAAGAAGTTATGTAGCCTTCACTTTGAAGTTTATATACAACCAGTCGGATCGCCCGGCTGTCGCCGGGCGCTCCTCCTTCTGTGACATGGCCCGGCTTCGCCGGGCCATGCGGATTTGCCGCGTGCTAAGTTAAGGATCGTTGACCAACCACACTGTTCAAAGGAATCTTCTGCATCAGCCAAGAACTGAAAAGCAGCGCTTGTTCCGTCAAGCAGCAGCAGCAGCCCCCCCCCCCGCATCACAGAAGGAGGAAAGCCGGCCTTAGCCAGCGATCCGACTGGTACGTTCATAACCTACACGGAAATAGTGCAGCCTGTTTGGACAGCCACTGAAGCAGCCTATAATTTATGCAATCTGTCTTCCTAAAGCGTCTTGCTTTGGAATGCACTACCGCATTCAGCAGTGGAACCCTTTAAATGGCCCTCACTGAAGTTGCTGATGGAAGATAATTGTGGTAAGAGTGATAAAGTCAGTTGCTGCTGTTCATAACATCTCTGTAAACAAACCACATGCATTTGGAATAGAGCTGGCTTAGCGGTCGTACACGATGTCGTTACTAATAAGCAGTGAGGAATGAGTTCTGTTGGAATCACTGAGATCGTTATACTTGAGTCATATCGATCGCATTGTTGTTGTGAGCGGTGAAGCGGATTTTCCCATGCTACCTTGTCAATTTTAGCTCCTATCACTTCCGTACCCGCCAATAACACTCCCGTCCCGTATCACTATCACCTGTATCGCCTCTCGGTTATCTCTCTCACAACAACAACCAAATATTAAAAAATAGGTTCTGACGCAAGACTTCCTACTCAAATAAGTAGAAAATATTGATTATGATAAGAGGTGGCTTCTGGAACTTCCTGTCCCTTTGCAGCGCAACACTGATATGTCACTTATACGATTTCGTTCCCCACTCTACATGAATAGCGCGAATTACCTTGAATTTATGTCAGGCCGTGATTGGAACACATTCAGGGCCCTCTTCTCAATGAAGATGACTGAAAAAGGGTGACTTACGCGCTGCCCACTTCCTCTCATTCTCGCTGATAAGTTCATGGAGTTTGTAATTTTTTCCACATGCATCAGCATGCTTATCGTAAGTGTCGAATCCTTTCACTTTCAGGCAGGTTTCTTCGATGCCAGCCTCGTCATCTGCGCACCCGAACATAGGTCTCTCTAAAATGAATAACTCTGTGCATCTTCAAGAAGCAGATGCTCACATAAGGGGATACATTTTCTTGGTTACTAATGGGCGAAAAATTGGCTTGTGAGGTAAGTGTATCAAGCAATCATATGGGATATGCACACAATACTTTTTCCTATAAAGAGTAAAAATGGAAAGTTGAGCTGAAAAGAAACTTGCACTCGGACCGTAAACGCATATAGTTGTTCGGCCAGGCTTGAATTCTCTCACGAAATATGGTGCCATACTTTCACAGAAGTCACCAGCTTCTTCGTCATTTCTCGTCTTGAATGTGAAAGCAACCTCACATTCTCTGTTGCTGTTCTTAAAAAAACAACGTTTGCACGAAAATCATATCGGCTCACGCCTCAAGGGCCTCAAAGTGCCCTTTCGCTTCGCATTCCAGTTTGCGGAACATTTTCTGGTGAATTGGAAACCCTATCGCGATTTCTTCCGTTCATAATTATTTCATATGAATAACACCTAACATTAATATTTTATTCGTCACTAGTGATCACACTGAGTTTTTTGAGTTCATTTTTATGCTTCGCTATGACTGCAGAAGACCAAAACGTCTCGGAATTTATATTAATTCCAAAATTTCGATTACAGCCTGTGCAACTGTCACCATCTCCACTTATTTCGGTTATTCCGGTTAAGTGGTTAGTTGGTCGCTCGGTCGCTCAATTCAGAGACCTAATTTCGCTCAACTCATCCATTTTCGATTCCCTACGAGGGGTCTTATCTGGAGCATTTTGGCAGTTTTTGGCTTTTATCGTCCATTATACTCCACTGCCCACATGAACTAACAATTCTGAGCCCTACAACCTGAGGAAGGTGATCGCGGCGTTGTGTTTAAGTTCACGATTGCCGATGATGTCTGGAAAGAAGATGTGAGTTCGATATGATGCGAAGAGTTCGCTCTCTCCAAGTAAAGCAGGGAACTGAAGAACATTCGTAGGTGTGAACTGACGGGTAGGCCTGACTGCTTATGTACCGCCTACACCGGTCTTGCCAAATACCCGAAATTTTACCACTGAATGGTAGGGGTATTCCCCATCAACCTCGGTAATAGTAGTTTTAACGAGCCACCAACTAGGGGCACAGCTCGTGTGACGCATCAGGGGCATCAGCTCGTGTGACGCATCAACAAATGGGCAAACTTCCACGGGACTTGCTGCGTTTCCCAACCTGTTTCCGAAGGAACTCTCGAAAGCTGTACCCTGTCTCTCGAACAGCTCATCCATCCTTGGAATGTCCTGCGATCTTGAAAAAGGAAGTGAACCAGTGATTGCTTGCGCACGAAAACAGTGAGCATATAACCACTCGGTAAAGACAACGTGGTGCCATAGTACAACTTCAGAAGAAAATGTTTTATCGAAAAGAATAGGTAGTTGGTCCTGAGTCATGATTCAAGCACATTTTGACTAGATCATCAGAAAATATTTCGCAGAATTTCGGACTTTTTTGCTCATTTTTCTGAACCAGGCAACACCTCTCACAATCCGGGAGTGGCTCTATTCACGTACCTTTAGAGTTCCTTTGGCAAGTTTTGGAGGACGAAGGCAGTACTTATCGAAAAGTTCTCCTGGAATAAAGCTCACTCCCTCGACGACTGTGTGTGGAAAAAATGCAAATATGTGACGTACCCGAAGTTTCTGCGGTAAGAAGAAAAAGAATTGCAACGGTTAGGTAGCGTGGCATGCTGAAACCAACAGGTTTTTTTGAATAGATTTTCCATTACTTGTCTTGCCCTTGCTTGCTCAAAGCAAAGGGACGCTTTTTTCATGAGTTTACGCATTACTTCAAGAACTTCATGCACTGGCCGAATGCGCGTTCTAGGGAAGGAAGAGCGACTTTGAGGTTCGAGAGCCGATAAATCCCTATGGCGTAGATTGAATATGAAGAACACAAAAGAACACCCGCCGCCCCTGAGCGAGCCCACATGGTGTCTTTTACAACTGAAAACGGTCTCTGGGCGTCTCAGCAAAGTTTGATCCCCAACGAAAACAACCCACAACGGCACTCCCACAAATGGTGGCACCGATCAGCGGTTGATCATGACCAGACCAGCTGTTTTCGCCCTATAATCTGCGGCTGGATGGCGCTTTTTCCATCCGGCAATTTCTTTCTGAGTTCTCATTAGTACCCAATGTTATCTTTCTTTGGCAGAGTGCAAGATTTTCCTGCAAGTAATGCGCGTTCAAGAGCTTCAGACTCCTATTATCCTGTTGGCTTTGTTCACTCGATTCGCGCGAACCTTCGATAGCCGCCACGTGAAAACGTCACTTGTATGTCTCTGTTTCTGTTCAGGGCCTCTGTTGATACTGTCGTGAAGTTTGCTAGCGCTTTAAACGGTGTCCTTTTACAGTTCTGTTGCAGTTGTCGGGATGTTTTCGCAACAATTTTTGACCAGCGATGGTGTACTTCAGGCGTGGGCTCGTGGACATCCTGGTAGGAGCGGTAAGGGCTATACTTCGAAGCTTTTCCGTTCTTCCGTTTCCCTGCGGGTAACTGAATTATCGTGCCCAATGACTTCAAGTTTTCAGTAAGATACAAAATTTTGAAGAACTCGGCTCTGCTCACGCTATGCCTTGATAGCGCTCTGCCTCTCTTCGAATATTCCCGTCCGATACTTTTTCCACAAAAAACTTTTTGTAAATATGTGATGTGCCCACCGTGCAATTGTCTTAAGGACACGCTCCGCGACCGCAAATTAGACAGAGCGATCCAAATAGGAACATCAAGGTGCAAAAAGGCACAACTGTGGAGGAAAAAAACCAGGAAAATCTACTGGAAATGTCCTTCTGTCACAATGTCGAAGAGCACGATTCATATCGCGGGCGCACTGCGCGTCCCTGGAAGCACTGCCGTGCCCCAAGATGAACGCGCTGCTGCGCCGTCAACAGGGGCAAGCCCGCGCCACGCCTGCCCCAACCAAGGCCATTCCACTGGTCCCCTCTGCCGGTTGAAGGTAACCTTCGGGCGTCATGATGGCAGCACGCTACGTGAAGAACAGTAGAGTAGGACGGGTTGAGCGCTTGGGTGTTATCGGGTGCGAGGTAACCGTCCTGGGCAGGGCGCCGATTCCTGTACCCATCCTCTCCCATCAGACTTGCTCGAAGGCGCAGTCGGCACAGTCGGCAGTTGGGCGGCTCTCATATGTCATCATGAGAGCCAGCAACTTCAGGAAGAAGTGAGTGTCTCCCATGTCGGCGTATGCTTGGCCAGACCACACTTATTGTTAGGCAGGAGACCGACACTAGGTCGCAACATGAGGATAGGGCATGCCTCCAATAACTGTAAGTGCCTTCTGGTTCATGTGTACTTGATGTTGTCTTGGGGAGGAAGGAGCGCCACGGTAAGGGGCCCCATGAGGCCAAGTATACTCGAAATTCCTGGGATTGGGTAGGCGTGGCTGCATGCTTCAACTTAACCTGAAGGTGTCTATGCTTTGTGAGATATTTTCATCTTGACACAATTGTTGTCGTGTCTCTGTCCAACACAGAACAAGATGACAGTTGTCCCAGACTGGAATATTCCACGAGTAACCAATTCCGTGCCATGTTCAAATGCCACGCCTACTCTGGCTCAGGGATAAGGAGTGTAGGTGTTGTGAGCTCTTGTGTCAGTTATCGCTCAAGTTCCTTTGCACTGTCTCGGCAAAGGGTCCTTTAGGTGTAGTTCATGTTTGGAAGGGGGACGGGGGTGGAGGACGGCAATTCCTTCAATAAGACTGCTGAGAAGGACCTGGAACGTGTGCAGCCTTAGACTGGAGGTATCCGGGACCGCCTTGATGTGTGTCGCTCAGCTACGCTTGCTAGGAATGCAGCGATGTCGGGAAGCAGTCGAAGGACAGCAACTGGCAGGTACGCGACAACACAGTAAGCAGCTGCCGCAGGCGCAGCCAGCGTTGTCGCGCATGTGAGACGAGTTCTCCTCCTTGAGCGCTGAGAGCATAGGCAAGATCAAAATCAGCATAGAGCCTCGCCTCCACTTGAATACATATGAGCTTAGCTGCTCCATTCGACAGATTGGTGCCCATCAAGATCTATCCCCTCGCATGGCGATGCGCCGCGCGCGAGTTCAGCGCTTGTCCAGCCCGTTTTCGTTTCATCGTTGGTCGACAACAATCCACTGTATGTTAGGGTATGTCACCTGATAACATATCGCATTGGCAGGTGTGTCAGAACATGTCGCATGATGTGTCATGCCTCGGTAGGGACGAGTTCTGCAGTCTGTATGGCCGTTGCACCACGCGTTTGGAATACACTATTAGCTTTTCCCTTGTCATGTCTTGTTATCATTTGGAATGGAAAGAGCTTCTAACGGAACAACCGTATCATAAGAGAACCTTTCGGAATGAACTCAGGGCAATGTTGGGCATCTAGCCAAATATTATCTTCATCACATGCATGTAGTGTGGTTGTTGCGCATGTCAGAGTGGTGATTGTGGCTCATCCTCGCGGTTCATACTGTCCTGTGGCGAGGCGTGTACACGCCATGAGA